ACTTGATGACCAAGTTGCTGAGCCGGTGCTTGATGACCAAGTTGCTGATGGTGCTGTACATTGTAGCTGTACATTTAATTATGACGTTTATAAGGTTGTACATAACAATGATGAACTCTACGAAGTGATTGATACAGTTGGTCTTAATGAAAGTTCGGCTCAGCAACTTGGTCATCAAGTTGCACAAGAGAACTAATTAAATTTCTTAAATATAACAAGCGCGGTTTTAATCTGGTTATATTTGTTATGAAAAAAGGTCGCCTGACGCAGGCATTTGAACGAAATCATGAACTGTTTTATAACAATATATCTGATCAGCAAATACCAGTCATACTGTATGTTGGCCATTGTGAAGAAGACGATCCACTGGATACATGGATCAAAGAGCAAGTTAGTGCTGATTCTTTGAAATTATATAATTTTTGTCAGATTATATGTGATACAGCTACTGCTCTTCAAACTGGAAAAGTTTGAAGGATAAACTCAATAGTTGAAAATTCAGCTTAATTTTGGGCTGGGCTCGTAAGTTTCGCACGAAGTAAGCATTTTGCAGCAAAAATCTAAATGCAGATGTTGTTTAGGATCATGTTCTTTGAAATATGAATGAGCAAGTTTTTGAATTTTTAAACTTGATTTTTAAATACGAAAACACGGTTTTAAAAATTTAAAAATTTCTTAAATTAAATTTAGAAATCGAGTTTAGAGAATTTCAAAAACTCTCAGTCAGCTAATGATCGTAAGCTAATCCTGTATTTTAGGACCAGGCCCGAGAAGATAGGGCAGCCCTATTTTTCAATCTATTTATCCAAGGTAATACAAGATGTAGAGTCGGTTGTACATCAGCGGACAATTGTTCACTTGAGATTTTAAAATATTTTAAGAGATTAATCAACTCTTCAGCAAGTGATTGTTTAATAGATTCAATAAAACTGTCCTCGTCCCTTTTATCCAATACGTCTACACACTGTTTGAATTTTTTTGCAACCGAACCCAACATTTCACATACAGAATTCCATCGTGTGTCGATATGGTGTTTTAACGAAGTTTCTAACATATGGTTTAACTCGGAGCGTTTAAAATGAGTACATAGTTCTCGACAACTTTTTATCAATGATTCGACTGGAGTACAGGCTTTCATCGCTTGCTGAATTGCCAAATTCAAACAGTGGCAAATACATCTCAAATGAGCCTCACCATCTAGGTAAAAAAAGAGATATGGGTTATACATGAATCTACAATTATTCTGATACATACTTAAAGTGCATACCAAATTAGAACCATTATCTGTCACATATACGATATGATATCCGTCAGGATTGATCTCGTATGAGCGTAGTACAGAAAAAATCACTTTTTTTGTATTGTCATCAGTTTTTGACTGACTAAATAGCATAGTTTTGAGCATAAATGTGACAGCTTTTTCTTCTTTCGTGTAATGTGTGTTGATCGTTAGGTAATTGTCCGACGTATGAGAATTTTTCCAATAATCAGTCGAAATGCCGATAAGCTTCACAGTACGCAAATCCTGCTTCAGCATTTCTCTCAATGTTAAACGATAATCCACTGCCACTTGTTTGACTGTTCGTGAAACATTTGTACGATCCGGTATGAGAAGTTTCGCGGAAGGTATACTAGACTTTCTTAAACCAAAACGGTAACCTACATCGAGTAGCTGTTGACACAGAACTTGAAATCCATCGCCTTCAACAGAGGCAAATGACCTCATGTCAATGCACAGAATTTCGCGCAAGCTATCGTTATCAAACGTTTTTCATCGGGTGGAACATTTACATCAGCTGACTCTTAAACGGTACAAAAGTTGTATTAGTTAGCCTCCGTCTACTTACACATGGAAAAACATCCGCTATATTGCGTATGTTATACATAGATACTCACTTGCCATAAACGAATCAATGCCTCTGGTTGATTTTGTCTGATTAATTTTAGCCATACAACCAGCTGCATGTGCACTTAAACTTCTGGTGCCGTTTTTTACCTCATACGCCAATATCTGATTACAATGAGTTCATAATCATCATTGTTCTTTATTCTTGATAGACTATTCCAAAAATCGCCGGTTGCCGAACAAGGGGTATTTGTTTCGATGGACAGGCTTCCTTCTTTCAACAGACGAGATATTTCCTTTTTTTTTCTTTCTGCTTCTCTTCTTGGTGTGTCTCCCATATTAGTTCCAATTGATCATTTCAATAAGTATGTAACTACGTGATGAACAGGAACGAAAACGTTAAAAGAAAAGAAAAGGTACAAAGAAAAGTTCGTATGGCTACTATTGATATTGTATCTGGTCCTTTTAACAACCAGTGACCATCAAGCCTTCTAAGTGTCGCAAGTGGCTGACTTGCGTGTCCTACCTACGATATAATTCATCAAGATTTGTCAAACAAACTCCAAGCCGTACCGCGTGACTTCAGGTGACATTAGAGCCCTGGCCCTACCCTACCCTGCAGGGTAGGGTAGGGTAAGGGCGCCCTGCACATCTGTAATAGGGCTTTGTGTGAAAAGGTGTGCAATATAGCGCTACGAGAAGTTCACCTTTAGACTGTCACGTTCTACGCTGATAAGCTTTTTTGTTCACCTCAGGTAATACTAAACGAAAAAATCATTGCTACTAATAAAAAAAGCTTAGCGGCCTAAACGTAAAACTCATCCATATGCACGAGAGACAATCTTAGAAACAGGATGTGTTTTTCCCGAAACATCGTCTATGTGTGGATACTTACTCCGAATTCAAACATCTGCCTTGTTTGATCCAGCTTTTTGCCTCATGCTTTTTATAGCGCAGTACACAAGTTTTTTACCTACTATCGGATGCGCCACCGCCGAGTAGAGACAACTAAAGTCACTCTATTGCCATGTGTTATATCAGTTCGTGTCGGTTTTACTTTGTCGCCTTGCAAACAATGTAATTGCTGTCTAGTTTGTTTGTATAATCGGAGCTTGAAGAACTCTTTAAAATAAAGCTAACCCACGTGCATTATTAAGAAAATTCTGGTTGAAAACTGTGCTTACTCTACGCCTCGAAAACTGATCTTCAAGGATTTTATTTTTCTGTAAAATCTGAAGTGCTGAATTTTTTGCTCCTAGAATCAGGCTGAAACGGTGTACAATTCAAAGTAATGTTATATTTACAGTACAACTACTTGAACGGTAGATCGATCAATCAGACTTTCGGAGTAATTTGTCGCTTACAGTTTAGATCTGAAATCCATACCATAGTGAATGTACTTGAGATCGAGGACTTAGCTACTTGGAAATTTTCTGTAATTGCTGTCTAGTTTTGTTTGTATTTGAATTTTTTTCCTTGTATTACTTTCCTGAAAAGGAATACTAATTTTATGAATATTACTGTTACCAGTATTACTGTTACTGGTAATAGGAATACTGTTCAGTATTACTGTTACCAGTAACAGTAATATATACAATATTTGTATTACTGGTAACAGTAATAGTAATGTGCCACCCCTAGTAGAAGATAGCCCAAAAGGTTTTACTCCACGGCGCTTTCTCCTGGAGTTATCGACGTTTTTAAAAGTTGAAAAATTCATAACTCAGTCAAAACTCAGTGTAAAGAGCTGAAATTTTTTTTCTGTGACTCTTCTTCAAATGTGCGATGCCCACAAAACGTTATCAGCTTTCTGAGTGTTTCTTTTCTTGAGTTGTACAATCTCGTTTAGGTCTCATTTTGTTCAGAATTTCATGGTCTTTCGTCTGGCTGCGCTATCAAAAAAATTGAGCAACCTGTCTTGTGTTCCAGAAATTTTTGTGATTTTAAGAAGTCGCGTCAAAAAAATTTCAGTCATTCCGAGACTGGAAAATTTCGAGAACCGATGCACTCAAAATTCGAGGATAATCGAGACTAAAGGTTAGGATGTGGAAATTTTTCGAGACTCTAGATTATACTAAAATTCAATGGGAATAGTGAAGGTCTATACGAAACAAATGCACAATGTAATGCATAGCAATGCTTAGTATATATGTATTTAAGTAGAATGTCTTATGAATTTATTTATCTTCTTCCTTTGACCATATAATCATGCAAACAATGATTAAATAGCTAAAAGAAATGCTAGAAAATTGAACTGTATTCTCACAAAAGATGAAGCGCAGTTTGTTCAGTTTTATACGATAAAATCAGAAACATCTAGTCTAAATCTGTTAGTTGTTCTTAATCCTAGACGACGAGCAGCTAATCGTCTGCATCTATGATTTCTATATTTGAAAATATTATTAGCTATTTTATAACAATTAGCAACAGTAAAACAAATTGTATGTAGTAATGTTAACGAAGGTTTAAGCACAAACCATTATACTGATGAACATTATACATGGTGGGCATTTACTTCATCAAAACGTAAAGTTCTCGGCTTGTGCAGTTGTATTTGGGTAAAAGTGATACATGAGGATTATTTTCTAGTGCTTGAACTGAGATGTATTCCTCAAAAACGAAGAAGAAATATTACTTTTATCCCGTACATCTTTTAACATTATTCGTATGTTAAGTCCAAAATATGTCGATCGATAGTGAGCTAGTAAAAACTCTAAGAAGATATGAACCCTTGTCGCTTCTTTCAAAAGTTATTGAACAATTTCTCTTTTCTCCGTATGAAGCAAGAAAAAATTAAAAATTTTATAAGTCTCTTAAGAAAAGGAATTACGAGTTCACATCTTTCTCTGTGGCTCTTCTATATGTCTCTGATATTCATAGAAACTTTCAGCTTTTCGATTGTTTCCATTCCGAAGGTAACAGCCTCTGAGTTTTCAAAGTATTTGCTGTTGGATACGCGTGCACGATGAAAGAGCTATAGAATCGTCAGTTATTTACAAAAATTGTTGAAACTGCCAGATGTGAAATGATTTTTATGCCTTATTTCTATTTTGAAAACAAAAGAAGTGATTTCAAGATGATCGTCGATTACAGGATCTCCAGAGACCTCCTTGAAAATTGTAGTTTCAGAATACCAAAATCACATAGTTTTGATTATTCAGCATGTACACCGGACAAATCTATCTAAGCGCTGAAAGTCTCAACAATTTTTGTAAATCACCGACAATTCTATAGCTCTTTCATCGTGCGCATATCCAACAGCAAATACTTTGAAAACTCAGAGGCTTTTATCTTCGGAACGGAAACAATTGAAACGCTGAAAGTTTCTATGAATATCAGAGACATATAGAAGAGCCACAGAAAAAGATTTGAACTCGTAATTCCTTTTCTTAAGAGACTTATAAAATTTTTAATTTTTTCTTGCTTCACACGGAGAAAACAAAAACTGTTCAATAGCTTTTGAAGGAAGCGACAAAGGTTTCACTAGCTCACTATCTTCCACCGATCAAGATAAAAATCATTGAAATCGAAGGTCAATACCTAAAAGGTTTCCTGTTCAGTAGACTTAGAGGCGCTTTACCACTTTTGCTAAAGGTGTTAGGTTTCTGGTAGCAAATTTTATGTTTTTATGCTTTGAACTTTCCTTCCCGTGTCTTCTTCTCGTCGATTGATTGTGTGGAAATATATTTAGAAATTTTAAATAATCACCACAATAGAATCTGCATTCAATGCACATCATAATTATGAAAAAATAATCATAGACGCCTGTGGTTCTGAAAAACGTAGGTGAAACTTTTGTCAGAAAGATTACACACTCACCTCCTACTTTCACCAGTTCACTTATTTTGCGTCCTTTTCACTTCCCTTTTTTTCAAGCAAAACTAATACCGTATTTGAGATCAGCAAACAAGACTGGGTAGAACAGCATATTTAACATTTGGTTTTCTAACAAAAAAATTTCATTGAAAATTTTCTCTCTGGGTTAATGGTGAGTATATAATTTTTCTGACAAAAGTTTCCCCTACGTTTTTCAGAACCACAGATTTCTATGATTATTTTTTCATAATTATGATGTGCATTGAATGCAGATTTCTACATCTACTTGATTTGCCTTACACTGGATGCCTGGCTCGATTTTAGCGATGGGATGGAATGAAATTGAGTTAAAACGATGCTTCGGTCGATAAATCGATCGATATATATCAGATCGCTAGCAGATACCTAACTAGATAGATCGGGAAATGAATGGACGGTATCTGGCTGCATCGAGCGATACCCGATACATTTTTCATGCTTGGGTGAGCTGGCTTTCTAAAAGCCTTATGTTTTTCTAATAGAAGGTATCACAGCTGCAGGTGTCAGCGATAGCGAAGTTCAGTTTTATTAGCATCTATTTGGAAAATTTCCGGAACAGTCGAGATTCTGTTCGCCGAAGAGTCGATTGATCAAGAAAAGCACTAAGATATTTTGAGCACGCTCGAACGAAGAGACAGTACAATTAACTGATAAAGAGTTGAACAATTAACGGATGCCCCAGAATAAATGGCGTTCTCAGCATTATGCCTATAACTTGGTTTGAATTTTTTTCCGAGACTCGATGTTTTTCTAAAAGATGCACTGCGAAATACTCTACAAAGTCATACCTGAACTACAATTTTAGAACTTCAATCAAGAAAACTAAAGCAAGTAGATGAAAGTCGAAGAGAATGAAAACTTTCCAAATTTAAAACTGATTTCTCACGTTAACGTTTTGAAAGTAGGAAAACCTGAATCAGCCATTATGTAGCCTCGACTTCGCTCTATCTTTTAATTACACTTCGGCATTTTCCATATCAAAAGCCACGGTGAAATAATATTTTTTGTTCCGGTCGTTACGCATTTTTTCATTACGTTTTTAAATTTTGGGTATTATAGGACTTTTTTTCCCCATAATTACATCAAAATAAAAGCGTTTTCAGTCGGATTTGTTTGATTTTGATCAGAAATAATTGCTTGAGTTTGGAAAGTTTTCATTTTTTTCGACTCTCATCTATTGAGCTTAGTTTTCTTGATTGAAATTCTGAAATTATAGTTTAGGTATGATTTTGTAGAGTATGTCGCAGCGCAGGCATCTTTAAAAAGCAAACATCGAGTCTCGGAAACAAATACAAACCAAGTTATAAGCAAAATACTGAGAGCGCCATTTATTCTGCTAGAAAATGTCCCAATATGACTTTGAGTGAAAAGGACCAGAAATGCTTCCTTTTTCACTTCATGACACTTCGGACTTTCAAAAATTAACATCAACAAAGATTTTTGTCAACGTTTGAATTTTCGGGGATGTAGTTTAGTGGTGTAAATATGGGGAGACCCGGAATGACTTCCATATCAATATGAGTAACTTGGGATACGATGCGGAAACAAAGTTAAATTAACTTTAACAAAAGTCGTTAATTAGTAAACGTAATCCAGTTCCGTTTGTTGAACCCAATATCAAAAACTTCGGTGAGCCTGAAATATGAAATTATATCATCAATTGTTCACGTCTGAAATGCAACACGTCCAACGCCCTTTCCTTTGGTATCGGTCCGTGTCGTGGAAAATCGTATCTGATCAATATTCTGTTTCAGTCTACATTCACCGAAGTTTTCGATATTGTCACGATCGTGTTTCACGTTCCGTTTTCTGATAGATAAATGAAAGCGCTTTCATAAAATCATCGAGATTCTGTTGTCGTTTTAGAAGAAACATCGTTGGAACTAAACATTCAAGAACAAAGTCTGGAAATGTCGTTGTTGTTCACGGTAAAATCGATTGATTATATCTTGCGAGATTTCTTTCAAAGTTTTGTCAATATATTTTAATTCATCGGCTTGCATCAGATGTTGTAATTGTAAAAAAGCTGTTGTGCGGCATTTCTGAACGATGGCGACTTCAGCATCTTTATCAGTAACTTTTACTGGCGGTGGCACGTCGGCTGCTGTAGTCGTTGGTTTCGATACAGATACAGTAGCGGTGGTACTTTCTTTCTTTGGTGGTTGATTTTGTATTTGCTTTGTTGTTTTTAATGTATTGGTCTCAGGCTGTTTTATCGGTGTGGTTGTTTCTAAATAACAGTAAACTCAGACCAGCATTAGTTGTCTTCTTGCAGACTAGTCATCAACGGCTAATTTTGGTTAGCTAATGAAGTCATCGGCGGCATATGACCAGTAAGTCTTTGTTTGGGCGACGACGAAGCGGAATTAACCTCAACTTTTCTTGGAAAATATAGACTTTAGCAAATACTTTTTCTAATCGGCGGCAGCATCGACTCTCCGTGTCTTCTGACATCGCAAGGCACAACCGAGAAAATTTTTGCACTTTTCTTTAATGCAGTTGTCTCGACGTTGCTAAATTCTACTGTGAACCGGTTTTAATCTGCTTCAGGCTGGTAGTCAGAAAAGAGCTAAACTTTACTCCTAATTCACTGTTGTTTGAGCACTTCCAAAGATTTTAGTTACAGGACTTTACCTAATGGTGTTGTGTCAGGCCAAGAAGTATCGACAAGAGTTGGAGCTGGTGTTGGTTGTGGTGCTGGAGGAAGACTGATCATCGCGATGACTGTTGTCAGTAGGGGTTCGTACTTAACTGAGAGTATCTTTCCTTTCACTAATTCTACACCGACTAACCACCCGTTCTTCGTTACACTGTCGGCTGCCAAACTGTAAAGATTATTCTTTGTATCAGGAATTTTATGTTGTTTAAGCAGTTGTGAAATTTTCTCATGATAATACATGTGTAATGCAAGAAATAGAGCTGAATCAGGATCATCCAATTGTTCTTTTAAATCATCTTGCGAGAAATTATCGTTTTCCATTCTGCATGCATAAGACATTTAGCAAAAGACGTAGAACTCGGACACAATGGCCTCGGGTTTCAGGACGACGACAATACTATCTTGTAGAGAAATATTTTCTCTACAAAACTGCGTTTTTAAAAAATGTTGCGATTCGTTTTTACGAAGGTATGAAGTATTTATTGTGAATTTTTGAAAATGCGAAAAAAAACATGCACTACTAATTTCAATGGGTGTATATGTAAAAGCATACTGTTCTAAATTATCTCGAACTTTCGTTCTGTTAATTATGCGTGAAGTATGTCTTCAGTTAAGACCTTCAAATTGAAAATCTGAGAATTTTCAAAAATCCGTAAAGTGATACGGAAGGAAGGCTCGAGATTTGTCAGCCTTTAAGAGAAAAATATAACTGGTCAGATGTCCTTTGATTCATATCATTTTATTTTCCTAGATTGATGATCTTTTGTTCCTCGACGATACACAAAATATTTTTTAACTACACAGAATAAATTTTTAACTCGATCGGATGAAATTTAAGGCGGGGTCGTAATGTCGTCCTATGAAAAACCGAGTTTTCCTAAAAACTGCTGAACGGTAATAGTTAAAAACTTAAAACGAAAAATTTCTCTGTTGAGTTTCCAAACCGCCCTGAAAATATGAAGCCTTATAGAGCTTTAGTTTTTACTTCGTTACATTTTTACGGGAATTTCATGAGACGCATAACCGTTTAAAGACGGCTTGCGACCGTAGTATTAGAAGTACTAGAAACGGCGTGTTG